TTAAAAATAGGAGGGGTGGATGTGCCGGTATTCCCACTCACATGAGGCTTGGTAATGAGGTCGCGGATAATATCCTTGATGTGTGTTCTCTGTTTTCACGTTATTTTAATGAGGCATTTGTCGGCGCTACCATTGCTAACCGGACTGATTCAGCCGGTATTCTCCCGTGGTTTACTGAGGAAAATGTGTTGTCCGTTCTTAATGAAGTCGATCCTAAAGCTGGAGCTGGTCCTGATAATTTACCTGGTAACTTTATTAGACACTGCGCGAATGGTCTATCTAAACCGCTATTTTTAATCTTTTCCTTGTCCTTACGTATTGGTTCCTTTCCTGGTGAGTGGAAGAGGGGATTTGTGCTGCCGGTTTTTAAGTCCGGTGACAGGGGTGACGTCTCTAAATACCGCCCGATTACTATCTTGTCATTGGTTTCGAAAGTTTTTGAAAAAATCATATATTCTTATTTACTTTACCTCTTGAAACCTAGCCTGATTACGGAACAACATGGTTTTTTACCGGGTAAATCGGTGGAAACTAACCTAGTTTATTATACTAATTTTATTCATAATTCCCTCAATTGTTCCAATCAGGTCGATGCGGTTTACACCGATTTTAGTAAAGCCTTTGACAAGATAGATCATAATATTCTGATGCAGAAATTAAGTACCTTTAATGTACCGCAAGGTCTTTTGACGAGGTTGGGATCGTACGTAACGGGTCGTTGTCAGGCGGTGAGGATTGGTGGGGTTACATCCTCATATAACCCTGTCACATCGGGTGTTCCGCAGGGTAGCCATCTTGGCCCTATCCTCTTTGTGGCGTATATTAATGACATTTCTTCTTGCTTTAAACATGCAAAATTCCTGTTGTATGCGGATGATTGCAAAATATTTTCTAACATTACAAACAAATGTGATTCCGAAAATCTTCAGGAGGATCTAGACCGGTTCCAGCTTTACTGCGCTGATAACGGCCTGTTCCTGAACTATGATAAGTGTTCTAAAATTACTTTCACACGTAAACGTTATCCACTAAACAATTCGTATACATTGGGGGCCGGAACTTTAACCTCGAATGACCACATTAATGATCTTGGCGTTTTATTGGACAGCAGGCTGATGTTCAATTTACATGTGGACTTTACTATTGCCAAGGCTCTAAAGCGGTTGGGTTTTGTGATTAGGACCTGCCGTATGTTCACAAATATTCAATGCATCAAATCTCTTTATATGGCGTTAGTGGTTAGTGTTCTTAGCTACGCCTCTACTGTCTGGAACCCTCATTATACTATTCACATTAACCGCATTGAATCCGTACAGCGGAAGTTCTTGAGGTATTTAGCTCACAAAACATTTTTACCTTACGGTGATTATCTTTTGCGTTGCAGAGCTCTAGGGTTCCAGACATTAAAGCAAAGGAGGCTGTGCTACGATTTATTATTCTTGTTTAAAGTAGTTAACAATCTTTTCAATTCCTCGGAATTGGTAAGAGAATTATGTTTTTATGTACCGTCATATCAAACACGTGGTGAATATTTGTTTAGAATTAGTAGATCCTTGTCTTCTGCACATCTTTACTCTCCTCTTGTGAGATTGATGAATGCGCATGACTCTTGCTGTAGGAATATCGACATCTTCAATGTGTCTTTGGCTGTTTTCAAGCGTTTCTTGCGGGGCGTGGGTGTGGAGAGATCGTTGTTACTCCGTTAATGAATATTTTTATTTATATAATATTGTAACAATAATTTTGTATATGCGTTCTGATTTTTTGTTGGAGTGTTACTTTTGATTTTGTTTTCTTTTTGATTTAGAATATTATTTTTTGTTGTACTCTTAAGTTTTTTGTTATTAATTTTTAGCTGAGTATCTTGTGGATGCTTAGTTGGGGTCAACCCTGTATGCATCCCGAATGTAATAAATAAATAAGTAAATATCCATTTTATCTGGTTTCAGACTCACAAGCATCAAAAACGTAAATCAGACTTTGACGTTTATCAATAAGTCATTAAACATTTGTTTTCCATGGCACACTAGGTTAATATCGAAATGATATGGGAGCATTTTTCAAAAAACCCTAATTATTTCTCAAACTATTAATGTTAGGCATAGGACATATGGAATGTAAAAGATGTAAAATGAGACGCCGAAGACGACTAAGTAATAAAATATGGGGGGTGCCATTTAAAAAAATGAAGTTATGGTGCTTCCAAATTTCGAAAAATTAACGTGTCATAGTAAAGTGTTGCTCCATCATGTTGTTTAAGCATGTTCTGAATCCTAAATTGATATCTCAAAAATTGAATGTTCTATGATTTTTTTAACAAATGTCCGCTGGAGCAGATTTTTCTAGAAAAAATCGAATAACTCGAAAACGGCCGAATCAAATTGCAAAAAGTAAAGTTATTTATAAACCTTCAAAACAGACAAATCGAAATGTGTAAAGATACAGGGTATTCCATTTAAAAAAATAAAGTAGGTGGCGACTTCCGGTATAACCGCTTGCTTTGGAAACGTAATCCGTAAAGATAGTTAAGTTGGTCTCCACAGAGCGACCAGGAATAAATCCATGCTGATTAACATTCAACGAAAGTTTTACTTGATTGAAAATCCTGCGATAAATCAATTGTTCGAAAAGTTTAGCAAAACAGGAGATTACCGATATAGGTCTATAATTCCCCATCGCCAGAGGGGCCAGATTTGTGAATCGGAGTCACTCTTGCGACCTTCCAAACATTTGGAAATGTATTCGTCACAAGTGATAAATTAAAAATTATGTATAATGGCATTACAAAGGCGTCTTTGCAGCCCTTCACAATGTAAGAGGGAATACCATCTGGTCCCTCTGTACGTTTAGATTTAAGCTTATTTATGGCATCACCAATTTCATTCATTGAGAAGGATTCCAAGTTGAACAAATCGAATGAGTTATTGTTGATAATGTCATCATAGAACGAAAGAGAATAATTCGACGTTGAACCATAAACGGACTTAAAATGATTTGCAAAAGCAGTTGCGATATCTTCGCTAGAAGCAAGAGGAACTCCGTCAGAACAAAACTGACTCTGGTTAAAGTTATCCCTTTTGCTACCAATAAAATTCGAAAATGCCTTCGGATCAGCTACAATATTATTTTCAACATCTCGTGTATAATTATTGTAAGCTATTGCAGTGTCCCGTTTGACCCTGGCCCTCAGTTCTCTGTATTTATCCAAATGGTACGTGGAATCTTTTCTGTGTTTAAAATGGAAATTCTTAGCCTTAATATCTTTTATTATACATTGATTAAACCACACTGGATATTTACGAGCCCCAACTTGCTTTTTCGGGACACAATCAGCTAAGATATCATATAGATATCATAAAATACAGCAACTGCATCATCCACATTATCATACATACTCAAAAAAGAAAATCCGTATCAGTTAAACGTCGATATAAAAGCATGAAATCCGCATTCTTATAGTCCTTCATGTAATGTGTTGGTAAAGTTAATTTATTTGCCGATTTGCAAGATAATTTGATTTCTAGACAAGGGTGGTAAAGATCTTCCTCCACAAATGGCAAGTCAAAAAGGCCAACATCAAGCGCAACATCTGACAAAACTAAATCCAAGGTTTTTCCCTGTATGTTTGTTATACTGTTGTGCGAGTTGCAATTGCAAAAACTAAGAAAGTCGCCAATTACATTGTATTTCACACTGTTGACAGCAAAAAAATCAAAGCCGGACTCGTTCACCAAAGGCAAATTAAAATCACCTAGAATTATAAACTTGGCATCATGCGACATATATAAATTACTCATAAGCTCGGCAAACTCCTGATACACCTCCACACCGCTAGCTGGCCTAATGTAAACCACCACAAAGATAATAGAAATATTAAAGAAATGCGTCCTGGCCGCAACAATCTCCAAACCAGTATCCAACGGAATCTGAGATGATAAAAATTTTGACTAGCTAAAAACTAAAACTTAGCTAAACTTAGCTTAAAACTAGCTATCCTTGTGGACTTGTCGTAGTCTTGGTGGAAAAAATTGGGGTCTTACCCTTGAAAGACTGTACTGGTTCTATGTGACTGTGGTTAGAGCTATGATCGCATAGACTTCAGTTATCAATAAACTTTCACGAATTCCATGAGTAGCTGGATTAGCAATCTCTGGTGCGATAAACACAACGCCAACTCTAGCAATGGATCTTCTGCTTGGCCTATCTCCTTTGCATTTGCATATAGATAGTGGCCAGAACTAGCATTTACAGATTTAAGCAATATGCTCAAAACTATTCCGACATGTCCTACCAATGGGATGCGGAAGACATTATAAGCACTGATACTGTGCTATCAATACCGTCAGATTTAGCAGATCACTATATGATTAATGCTTGATACCAGATTGTACTGCCTGAACGGCAGTCCTGGGTCGAAAACGAAAATTCTCTGGTTCGGGCAGATATTTGCATGTTCACAGATGGATCAAAAACGCCGGAAGGGGTCGAAGCAGGAGTATACTGCGAGACACCTCGGATTAAGCAAGCTCACAGCCTGGGAACGTACTGTACTGTATACCAGGCGGAAGTATTTGCTATTGACATGGGTGCTAAAATCCTTCTTGACTGAGGGGTGAAAAACATGACGGTACGATTTTTCTCAGACAGTCAAACTGCTCGCCAGGCGCTGCAGGCCGTGAAAAAGGTGTCGGCTCTGGTTAATGACTATAAAAGGACATTAAATATGCTGAGTTTCTTTGATCTGGGTCCCAGGTCACTCTGGGGCTGCTGGCAATGAAGCGGCAGATGAGCAAGCACGGAAGGGCAGCGCTAAAGCGTTTGTGGGGCCAGAACCACCACTTGGTGAATCATTTGCAATGGCCGATGGATTTGCTGTAGACCAGTACAATAGATCCTTAGCGTCGTGGTGCATGGTTGGTTGGTCCGCCTATCCGATATGTAATCTACATAATGTAATGTAGTTCTTGGCTTCTATGTTATGAAAGAAAAGAATTTCGTACTTTGTATGAATCTGGTACCACACCAAGTTCTTCGCTAGCTTTTTGCAAAACCTTTCCATCTAAAAACTTATACGGAAATGATTGTATGAAAGCCGGTAATTCTAAATGTTGCGTATCCGGGCGATGTATAATAGCGACCGAAAGTCCGTAATTAAAAAGATAGGGGTTTATTCTGTCTCTGGTGTAAACAGCCATTGCCAATAAATCTTCAAAGGTTACCATTCCTACAAAAAAAAACAATTTTTGATTTTTGAGATGAATTAAAAGAATTTTAATTTTACCTGTAAACGTAGCAATTAAATATCCCGCGATTTCCCTATGCTTCGGAATGAAAAGAGAAAAACTAGCTTCTCTAGGAAACGATAAAATTTCTCTAAATTTTGCAGAGTCCGGTATCGAAATTTGTTTTACAGGTATCTTATCGTTTGTGTAATAATCTGCAATATCATTAACCACCTGTTCTGGTAAAGCTTTGTACCTAGCAGTCTGAAAAAAAGAATCAAATTAAATAGAATTTATTAAAATTTAGTAATGTTTACCATATATTCATGAGGCACGATAAAAGCTTTTTTTTCGGGACCTTTTGGGAGAAAACATGGTTCCAAAGGACGGTCGTAAAGTAAAAGAAGATTTTCTGCCATTTCGGAACGCTTTGATGCACTTAAACGAATGATAAAACGGAATAAGCTGCATCCTTTTTATATCATTCATTCTAACCTCAAATATTTGTTTTGACTGGATTTACTTGAAAAACAGGATGCGGTTAATAAACTAAAGAAGTACATCTAAAGAAAAAAAATAGTATTATATAGGTATGTATNTGCAATGAATGCGAAGGTGGAAATGCCCGATTTCAAAATTTACTAATTATGTACATACAAACATTGAAATGACCCCGCGAGAGATTTCGAGTCGGGCATTTCCACTTTCGTATTGGCCAAAGATTAAGCTTTCGAATGAGATTTTGATTGTCGAAATCGATTGACTGGTTTTCTTGTTATAATCAAAATACTATACATGTAAAATCCTATCTAATTGGGGGCTAGAAAAATTTGGAGCTAACCTCGCATAGGTCATGATGACTAAGTGGCTGTCGTTACATAGACTGTGTGTCTATTAACTATGTACAAGAGCGTCGCCAGATAGGAGCAAAGATAGATTCGAAAAAAAAAATTGAATAGAATATAAGATACAAATAGATTCTAAAAATCCATTACTATACATGTAAAATTCTGTTTAATTGGGGGCTAACTTCACATAGGTCTCATTATGAATAATTATGTTGTAATCTCAACAAGTTTAGTGCAAATAACTTTTTACTTTGTGCGTGGGTATAAATTAAACAATTTGAAGTTAGGATTTAATACGAGAAATACATGGTTAACATTGCTTGTGTTGTCAGTTGTAATTGTCATTTGGTTCAATACACAGTTTGTTGCTATCGTCACACGGATTATTTATTTATTTTTATTTTGTAAGCATGTCTTTTTTAATAACTTTTAATTTAACTAAACTACTATTAAATAAGCTACTATACTTATTTATCATTTATATTTACAACATAAAGATATTTCAGCTTTCAGTCATTTGACAGATCAATGCAATCTATTAACACAAAGTCTATTATAGTGAGTTTACACATGCATGGATTTAGTGGCGCCAATACAAACTGGTGCGCCAGTAAAATTAAATTGCATGTGTAATAGTGAGTTTACACATGCATGGTTTTAGTGGCGCCAGTAAAATTAAATTGCATATGTAAACATCAACTGGCATGCAAGTTGAAACCAAGCATGCATGGATCGGTAAACTCTTCACCCTTCTGAAATTACTGACGCCAGTGATGAGTCTAAAACATGTAACCATGGCAACATAGGTGAGTGTCCACAAAAATTCAAAATTTTTTAATGTCAAATTTAGGTTATGTTTCATTGCATTCAAATTAAATCCCAATTACGTTAACAGATTCAAAGATACTGTTTAATTATCCACATAAAACCTAGAATATATCTATTTTCGTTTCAGTTGAGGTCCTAATTTATGTATATAGTTGTAGTACACTTTAAAATGACACTGGCGTGTCACTTATTTTTTACATGTGCCACGCCAGTGGCCACGGTGTGTTAACTCAATACGTATAAAAAAAGACAGATATTTAATGGGTACCACGGACGGCTAGATGGCACTGTAAGCACAAATTGCTTAAAGTCCCTAGATTTACAAAGTACCGCGGTTTGCCGCCATTTTGAAAGTCAAGCGAGAACTTTAAAACTATGTCGTTCTAAACTATGTATAAAANTATTTTCGCCCCTTAGCCTAATTGGAGGGATGAGTTCAGGTCTTCTCCTGCGGCTAAAAAACATATTTAAATTTTAATTTAAGGGTTATGAATTTCTAACATTGTTGCCAACGTTAATTTGTTTTCCATTATGATAATTGTGGGGATATTATAATGTTAAAAAAGGAAACAAAAACAAAATGTTTCTGTAACTTAATAACGAATTAAATTTATTTATTCATTTTAATAATTAAACTTAAAAAAAATTTATTCTATTTAATTAATTTTTGGATTTAACGGTTGGTAGTATTTAAACGCGACCATTTCAACCGCCATTTTGTTTGGACCCAAGCGCGTTTTGCGGCGTCGTAATTTTAACTTGTAAAAATTCAAGAACTCCTTCCAAAAATGTCTCACGGTAGAAGCGATTGCAGAATTTACGTTGGGAATTTACCTCCAGACATCCGTACGAAAGATATTCAAGATCTTTTCTACAAATTCGGTAAGGTTACGTTCGTCGACTTGAAGAACAGAAGGGGTCCGCCATTCGCTTTCGTTGAATTCGAAGATCATAGGTAAATTTAAAAATATACAACATTCTAGAGAACCGAATATTTACTTTTAGAAAGAATGTCATAAAAAATTAAAAAAATTTTTTTTTTGGGTAAATAGGGATGCAGATGATGCTGTTCATGCTCGAGATGGTTACGATTACGATGGTTATCGTCTTAGGGTTGAATTTCCAAGAGGGGGTGGTCCTGGTGGATTTAGAGGTGGCCGAGGAGGTGGTGGAGATCGTGGAAGAAGTTCTAGGGGCCCACCTGCTCGTCGGTCTCAATTCAGAGTTTTAGTTACTGGTAAGTCATCTGATCCAATTTAATAATCTTATTTCCAATAACATAATATTTATTTAATCTTTTCTTCATTTAGGACTACCTCCTTCGGGTTCATGGCAAGATTTAAAAGATCATATGCGCGAAGCTGGGGATGTGTGTTTTGCGGATGCTTTCAAAGATGGTTCTGGAGTTGTTGAATTTTTGCGTTACGAAGACATGAAGTATGCGATTAAGAAATTGGATGATTCTCGGTTTCGATCACATGAGGTAATATTCTTTATTATAAAATTTAATATTAAAAAAAATGCTAGTGCGATTGAACAATTAATAGGAGGATGTGGTTCTTACGATTAAAAAAAAAGTTCTGTTTTTTATAATAACCTTGAATTTTTAAATTGTTTTTCTTTGACATGTTGTGTTGAAAACATAAGAAGCTGATTTGTTTAACGCAAATTGATAAGACTGTTTTATTAAATTATTAATTTTATTTCATTTTACTTTTAAATTTTGTCAATTCTGTCAATTGATGTAGGTTAAAAATTTTTTTTGAAGTTATGTTTAATGATTATTTTAATTATTGTTTATTGAAAAAAAATTACAAAATGAACCTCCTTGTCATTATCATTGAGTTAGTAGATTGATATTTGAAATAAATTAAAATTTTGTTGCCTCTTCAGTGTGATTTAGACAGACTGTATGACTACTCCGAAAATAATAACTTAGCATCTTGGCATTTTTAAAGGCCGGGCTATCATATTGATTATACATACATGCCGAACAGGTGTTTTACATTGTGTGTATGCCATTAAAGATCTCAAAGTTCTATTAGACTTTAAACTAATTTTTGATTTGCACATTGACTCTATATCAGGCATTTGTAAACAGTATTGTAAGCTTTACGCTCAGTACGACGCTTACATAAATAGGTTGGAAAGAGTGCAAATTGTTTAATTTTGGGTTTTTATTTAGGAACAAAGAACAACATGTTCTTAACGATAACGTATTTTATTCTTTTTTGTTACAACTTGTCTCTATCATTCTACTAATTCACCACTAGATGGCGTTACAAATATACTATTTATTATGACATCATCCCCCCTTATTTAAAATAAAATCTTTAAACTTTTCGGGCGTTTTCTTAACTCTTGTCGGCCGGGTTCTTGTAGGTTCTTCTTCGTTTTTTGGTAAATCTAGTTTTATTTTTCCTTCCTTCTTTACTTCTTGTTTCTTGGTTTCTTGATTCTTCGTTTCTTGCTCTTTAGTTTGATCCAAATGTTGATCCTTTGGTATCTCAATTTCTTCTATTGTTGGATTCAATACTTGATCATTAACATTGATTTGTTTCTTTATTTCCTCTTCTTTTCTTTCCTTTATATGTATTCTGTCTCTTCGATAAGATGTTCCACCCACATCGATCATGAATGCTCTATCTGAAAGTTTTTCGTCTATTTTTCCTTTTGTCCATTCGGAATCAGGTTTTAATTGTACATACACTGGTTGTCCAATTATTAAATCAGGCAAGTTTCTAGTTTCTTTATCATAATATAGTTTATTGTATTTCTTATTGAGTTCAATTTTTTCGGATACATCTTCTATGACAGTAGGTTTGTAATTAGATGTTTTTACTGGTAGGCTACATCTGGTTTTTCTTGACATTAACCTTTGAACTGGACTCGAATTCATTTTGTTTGGTGTATTTCTCCAATGAAGCAATGTCCAATAGATATCTTCACCACTCTTTTTAATCAGTGTTTTAGCAATTTTTACTGCTGATTCTGCTTTACCATTTCCTTGCTGATGATATGGTGATGATGTTGAATGTTTGAACTCATAATCCCTTGAAAAATCCTGCATTTGTTTGTTAACAAAATGCGTTCCATTGTCAGATATAACTAATTCAGGAACTCCATATCGACTAAATGTTTCTTTCATTCTAGTTATAACTGATTTTGGACTTAAGTCTTTTAAAAAATATATTTCGAAGTAGTCAGAATAATGATCTACTATGACTAAAACTTTTAATGATTTTTCTTGATATTTGACGAAACATATGTCCATAGAAATTATTTGAAAAGGATATTCTGGAATTTGGTGTGACATCATTGGTAATTTTTGTTGTGCTTTTGCATATTTTCCGCAAGCTTCACATTCTCTTATTGCGTTTATTATGGATTGAGTCATACCAGGCCAGAACACGTTTTGTTTCGCTAATTTTAAACTATTCTCCACTCCGCTGTGTCCTATGTGTAATTTTCCTGTAATTAGTTTTCTTAACGTTTGAGGTATTAACACTCTGTCTTGATAAAATATTAAACCGTCTTGGTAAGCTAAATTGTCTTTAAATTTAAAATAAATTTTTATTTCATCCGGTATGTCTTTTATATATTTTGGCCAACCCTCTACAATGAATTGTTTCACTTTTTGTAAACACTGATCTTTTTCCATTTCAATTTTTATGCTGTTAAGTCTTTCGTCTGTAAAATGAACTACGTGATAGAAATTGGAACGC